TGGTTACAAAACTGAATGTAGAGGTCAAAAATTATTAGTGAAAGAAGAGGTGATAAAGACAAAAAGATTATGCCTAAAATGACAGATGTTTATAATAAGGATTAGGAAGTGGAAGAAGGAGATGTAGAATAGGAAAGGTAAGCTAACTTCATTTTTCATAGGGAAAGGTAAATAATATTGTCTTACCTTGAATACCTTTAAAACTTAGGATAAAGAAAAGTTGTTTCTTTTTTCTAATTTTAAAGGACATGTTATGAGATGTATATTAGATGACATTTCTGCTAATAAATGAAAGACTTAAATAATATATAACATGAAAATAGAAGCAAGATGATTTAATATATAGACACAAACAAAAGAAAAGCTTAGTTTTTTTTGTCCATAATATTAATTTTGGACAAAATAGATTTAAAGCAGTGATTATTAAACATACAGAAGAACCCTGGCCAGTGTGGCTCAGTTGGTTGGGCACTATCCAGTGTACTGGAAGGTTGCTGGTTGGATTCTCCGTCAGGGCACATGTCTGGGTTGCTGGCACCATCCCTGGTGGGGGGCATGCAGGAAGCAGCCAATCAATGTTGGCTCTCACATTGATGTTTCTCTCTTCTCCCTTCCTCTCTCTCTAAAAATCAATAAACTATTCTCAAAAAAAAAAATGCAGAAGAAAAGAGAAATGGATGAGCAACAGTTGCAAGGTATTACATATGTTTGAAAAAGCAAGGGAACAAAAATTAGAAACAATATGAAGATATTAAGCAAATGGATAAAAATGTAGACCAAGAACATGGACATTTTATTAAGTGTCCATAGGAAATTATGAAAAGTGATCATTCATTAGACTACAAAAAAATAGTTGTTCAACAAACTCCTAAATACAGAAGCTGTACAGTACATTTTTACCTAAACACGAATAGGAAAGCTAGAAATTAAAAACAAAAATGGAACCTCAAACCATTTGTAAATTAAAGTGTATCTCTGGTTATGTCTACAAGGGTTGATATTGGTGTTCCCATTTTTTCCTGAATCACCTAATCAGTATAATTTTGGCTTTCAGTTTTATCCAGTAACTGGATAAAATCAAAATTATACTGATTAGATGATTTAGGAGAAAATGTGTACAACAACATCAAACCTTGCAGATGCAATCAAAGGTCAATTCAGAGCCAAACTTATAATTTTATATTCTTTGTATTTAAAAAAGGGGGGGGTAGTTATTAACTTAATTAAAAAGTTATAAAAAAGCAGTAAAACTCATAAGACAGGAGAATAGAGATAATTTTTTAAAAGATGTAAACATACTAACAAAGCAGGAAAAAGTAAACTTTACAGAACAATTCCTGGCAAAGGTAATGGTTAGAACACTAATTCAGTTTAGAACAGAGGAAGCAAATCACCACCTGTCTTAGGACCAACAGCTCAGCAAGACAGTCCAGGGAGGGGGCAGGCTCTGCTCCACAGTCCTGCAGAGCTAGGGTGCATGACAGAGACGAGATCTCTAACTTGAAATAAGTAGGAGGTGCTCGAGATCTCTAACTTGAAATAAGTAGGAGGTGCGCCAGACCTAACACCGAGGCCCGGGAGTGTTGCGGGCCTCTTCTGCTCACATTCCACTGGTAAGAGCTTCGCCCTTGGCGAGAACATGGGAGCCTGAGAAACACAGTGCCGCTGGCTCTGTTGAGCCGTGAAGCTGGGAAGCCAGGCGTGTGTGGTCACCTGCAGGCTCTCAGCTGCTCCAGAGGACCCCCTTTTGAAGTAGGGAAAGTGCTATGCACAGTATATGGATAGAACTAAAAATCTCAATGAAATGAAGTACTCTGGGGAAAATGTAAATCAACAGAATTGAAGCAAATGGAAGTAGAAAATATAAAAAGAATAATGGCCATAATTATTGCCAAAATGTGTTTGTGTTCAGGCAGTTTTACTGCTGCATATTTTTTAACTTTCAAAAAGCAGATAAGCACAATATTATAAAAACTACTTCAGAGCATTCTAAAAACAGCTTGCCATCCAATTCATTTTGAGAAGATAGAATAATCCTGATGCTCAAGCTTGAAAAATATAGTACAGAGAGGAAGGTTCTAAACCCGTCTCACTTAGAACACAGATGTAAAATCCTAAATAAAACATTAGCAAATATAATTTATTAGCCTATGAAAAGGATCGCCCATGATGATCAAGGTTATCTCAGAAACACAATGATGGTTTAAGTTTAAGAAAACTATCAGACCGGCCAGGCGTGGCTCAGCGGTTGAGCATCAACCTAGGATCCAGGCTATCAGGGTTCGATTCCCGGTCAGGGCACATGCCTGGGTTGCAGGCTGCAGCTGATCATTGACTCTCTCATCATTGATGTTTCTCTCTCTCTCCCTCTCCTCTCCTCTCCTCTCTCTGAAATCAATAAAGATATATTTTAAAAAGGAAAAAAAAGAAAACTATCCAGTATATGGTTACTTATATCATGCTTCCCAAAAGGAAATCCAGATAACACCAATCAAATGTGAAAAGTCAAAAACATCCTTTTTTATTCCGATTTCTTTGAAAATTGTTTTTAGAATACTAGGCATAGAAAGATTTCTTAGTATGGTTAATAATATGTATTCAGCCAACAACCAAAATGTTTAACTGTGCTTTGCATTAAAATTGTGAAGATACCTACTATCACCAATTTATTTTAATTTTTTTAATTACTGTTTACATTCAGTTTTATTTTGTATTAGTTTCAGGTGTACAGTGTAGTGGTTAGACAATCATATACTTTACACAGTGTTCCCCCTGATACTTCCAAGGAAGAAATTTGCCTTTCTTTTTTCCTTTACCATGAGTGTTGGCATTTGAAGCAAAATAGAACAAATCTGGCAAATGGTAGGTGAAAGGTTAAGGTCAGCGGTGCATGGGCTGGCTAAATAAATCTCAGACTGTGAATAAAGAAAAATTGAACTTAAGGAAAAGGGGATGGATGTCCAAAGGGAAGGGCTACACAGCACTGAGTCAAAGGGTATTGGGTCCATGATGGCAGCAAAAATATACTTGGGACAGTGAAACAAAGAAGAACATAGAAGAAGCAGCAGGAGAGCCCAGGCTGGGCTACTTTGGCCAGCGAGAAGTCAGAGAGAGAAGGGGGCCTTGGAGACAGGCTCAGGGTGTCAGCCCTGGTGGGGTCCCCTCAAAGGGAAGAAGGGGGATGGAGATGGCGCTGGTAGGGAGCGTGTGATGGGTCCTTTGTCCTGAGCCTATTTATCTCTTTCTTGCAGGTAGAAATCATAGGGGAAGTCTCAGGGGAGAGTCTCAATAGAATATTCACCAGCTTTCCAGGGGTGCTCTTTCAGGGTCCTGGTCTCCACAGATTGGTTGGTGCCAGGGCAGGGGGTCATAGTCAGTGTAGCTGGTCCTGAGGCAGCCACCTGGCCACCTGGCTGGTTTTGCTGCTTTTCTGGGCCTGGCGCTGAAATACAACTGAGGCCTAGATGTTATCTTTCGGGAGGAACCTCTCAAGGAGTCTAAACCGCATGACCACCACATGACCAGCGATATGCTGGGGGAGGATAGGTTCTCCTGGGGACAAGGTTCTTGTTTTTCTAGTTTTGCCCCTTGCGAGGCATCTGGGGCTTTCTGCCCTTGTGAGTCTCTCTACCGGGGTTTCTGTACATGGGTTTCTCTACCTGGCCCATCTAGCAGCAGGTTTTCAATTAATGTCACCTAAATGAAATTGCATGCTTTTGCTTAAAATAGAATAACATATTAATCTTTCATCTTAATGTTTAAGAAATATTATTTCTCCTTTTATACTTATATCCTTTATCAGAAGTTTAAAAGTTCAGCATTCATAGGTAAGCAACATTTTAGATAGCCACATTTAAACCTAGATTTCCTCAGGAAATAATAAAATCATTGGCCTTCATTATTAATAACTACCAGTGCTATAGAATAAACATTATTATTTTTATCAGTTTACATACTGGGAAATCTATGCTACAAACATACTGAGATATTACATCTTCTAATGGGATATTAAAAAATGAATGAATACTGATATGTAGGTGAGGACAGTGCCACAGATACACTAGATTCAGGGTTTGTTTTGAGTTCCCCACACTGCGGAACTGTTGGATTTACACTAATCTGTCGTTAGCATATTTCTGGTTCCTTCTTGGCTGCTCTCAGTGTTTGTAACATGTCTACCCAGGTTGAGAGATGAAACCCATGGTTGTAGAACAGTTGTATTTATTACTGCTCTATGTAAGAATTAAATCTAAAACCTTGATTTATATTATAAAGAGTTTTAAACCCAAAGTTTTTTGTACTCCTATGTCATGAAGCCCTAGGATTCAGTGAAATAATTTGTGAGCGAAGTAGACTTTGAATTTTTCAATCTGATTTTTCTCATAATCTATTTATATGAGACTAATCTCTCCAAATCTAATTCCTTTCTCTTATTAAATCTCCTAATTATGTTTTTATACTCACCACCTTATTTTTACTATCAATTATATTTTGGCTACCAAGTGTAGTCTATTAGAAAGTGAATAAATAATGGATTTCCACCTATAGCAGAAAATTAATTAACTTGCTTATGACACATAGAAGAGAGTAATCTAAAAAGAGATTCTGTTTTCCAACTCCTACAACTACCATTTTCAAACTTATTACTTACATATTTACCTATTGTTACTGATGTTGCCATTTCAGATACCTGTGCCTTAAAGCATTTGCTTATATTTTTATCATTTTGTCGTATTATTTGCTTTTTATATATTATTTAAATATAGCATCTTATTAAAGTTCTGTAACTTCAAAAAGTTTAAAGAGACCTGTTTCAACAAAATAACTTAGTCTTATACTAAACTAACGGTTGTATCTTAGTTTACCTCTGTAGGGGGGAAATTACCAGTATTTGTTCCCGGGAATGAAAAGCTGCCCCTCCTACAATCTATTATCATTAGTCTTTGGTTTTGTGCCTTCTCTGTAATGATATAGGTTTGTTTCTCCTTTATTCTTTGCAGAGTGCTGCAGCAGCTCCCAGTCCAGTGCTAGGAAACATTCCCCCAGGAGATGGCATGCCAGTAGGTCCTGTTCCTCCAGGGTTCTTTCAGGTACTCAGAGAAACGGACTAGGAATGTTAAGGTGTAGGAACTCCTGCTTGATTTTATTTAAAGACATGACGGAGAATGAGCTATTTTTATTCTTAAGGTAAACATAATGCTGTGCAGCCAACTCTTGATTATTCAAAGACATTAGCCTTTCCTTCCTGTATTATTGTCCAAATTTTATTCATTTATTTATTTTGCTATTGCATTGTACAAGAAGAAATACAGGAGTTGAAGTGCAAATTAGCCCATTAAGATTTGGTGGGAGAAGAGGCTAAAGATGAGGTTCTGAAATGGATTTTAAATAGCTAAGCTATCCACATCTCCAGAGACTAAAGGTAATCAAGATTTGGCTGTACTTCAAAAATATGGCTAAATCATAACCTATTTACTTACCAAGATTATAGGCTATATCAAAATATTTGAGAATCATCTTTGTGGCTTTTAAGCTGAAATTTTTATTAATATCATTACATCACATTTTAAAATCAGATTTTAAAATATGCATGTTAGTATTTTAAAATTTCAACAAGACCATTTATTTTAGCAATGACGATAATGATTTTAGAATTACGGTACATCCCTTTTTAATTTTATGGTACCCACATCTTAAATCTGACAGTTTCTAACCCAAACCAACAAAGATTCTGGTTTATTTATTTTACTACATGGTTAATTTTATAACACCCTTTGGGAAAATTAGGAGTTAAAAACTAGAGTTGGACGGCATTACAAGAATTAATGTAATGTGCTATAAGAACAGTAGCTAACACTGTAACTGCTTACTATATGCCATGCTTTGTTCCAAGTGTTTTACATATATAAACTCTTAACCCTTACAGTAACCCTAGGTGAGAAGTGTATATCATCATTCCCATTGCACAGATGGAACAGCCAACGCTTGATGGATACGTAGTTTGCACAAAGTCAGAAAGTAGCAGCGCTGGGATTCTAATCAAGGCTTTCTGGACTTCTGGTCAATAAATTTACCTTTTAAAGTTCATAGTTAATCGTTACTCATAAAACATTTCTAGCTCATTTTGTTTTTTCCCCTCATGCTCTCACTCCTCTTGCCAAGGGTACACTGGAATTAGTAAATAAATCAGAAGAGTCTACTTGTAAGAGTTAGTAGAAACAATCTCTTTAAGTAGCACTTTAAAAAAGAGGGTGGGTTGAGAAGGAAGTCATGTTCCTTCTAGTCATGTTCAGCAAAATGTATAAACCTATACATTTTCATCTTTACATTTTATGGAATGAACTCTCCCTTTACCTGTCTTCTGCCCTAATCTTGATAAGAGTAGTTGACATAGAGTTAAATTTGTTGTAATTATTTCAATGTGATAAATAGTTGAGAACTACTCGAAGCCAGGCACTGTGGCAGGCATCTAAAAATGAGTATGTACAGTATGTATCTTCCTGAAGCTCATTGTCTAGCCAGTGAGGCATTATTAAAGAGAAATAACTGTAATACAGCAAGATAAGTGCTGTAACAGAGTAAAATGTAAAGTACTATGACGACCTAGAAGAGAGCTATTAAGTCGGCCTGAATTGGAGCTAAGAGGGGTTTGGAAACAGTTCTTCAGGGAAACAAGCGGAGGAATGATATTCCCGAAAGTGGGAACAGTATAAATCAGTGTGGAGGCATGAGAATGACCCTGGGCAGAGGTGCTGAGAGTAACACACACAGAAGTGGAGGGAGGGTGGGCAGCAGTTCCTGGGCACGAGCGTGGGAAGATACCCTCTAGCATGCCGAGGAGGGCCTTCTGTGCCCTGGTAAAACTGCAGTCTTTATTTCGTGGGCATGGAAGAGCTGTGAGAAGGGCAGTGACCTGAGTTCAAACTATAGAGCGGCATCAGGCTTTGTTAGGCACCTATGATACAATTGTATACAAAGTCCCTGCCCTCAGAAAACTCATGGTATGGTTACTGAGAGAGAAAAGGCCATTAGAGCATAGAAAGAAAATGGCTACATTAAATGTGTAGAGTGTGCCCTTAGAGCAAGTAAGAAGGCCGCCAAACCCCATCTTGGGAGGGGCATTTCAGGGAAATAGTAAATGAAATTCAAATTGGCATCTAAAGATAAGTTTGGCAAAGGAGGCGGAGAGAGAGGGAAAGAATATTCCAGGAAGAGGGAAAAAAAAATTCAAAGACCCAGAGTGGAAAGCAGAGAGACCAAATGTAAAACCGGAGCTTAATTAGCTGAAGGGACAGTGGCTAGTGATGAGGCTCCAGAGGAAACTTGAAGTGCCGTATAGGTTAGTTAAGCATTTGTACCTTGATCTTAAGGGCAGTGGTAAGCTACTGAAGAATTTTAAGCAGGAGAGCCTTGTTCATATCTGCATTTTTAGAAAAATCATTTCAGTTGCAGCGTGTAGCCAGGATTGCAAAGGGACAAGCCTGGAGGTAGGGAGACTGTTTCAGGAGGCTGTTACAGTAATCCAGGGGAAATTTAATGATGGCCTGGACTAAGATAGTGGCGGTGGGTATGGAGAAAGATGAACAGATTTGAGTGACAAATAAATGCAGGGATTATGAGTAAAAGAATTCAAGAATAATATCCTGGTTTCTGGCTCTCACCTGGGTAGATGAGATAGCTACCACAAATGAGGAGTAGGATTGAGGTGGAACAGATGAGGTTCCTGCAAGACCTCCTGGAGATATCCCTTAGGCCAGTGAATTTACAGATTTGAAGCCTAAAACAATGATCTAGGCTAGAGATAAAAATTGCAGGATTATCACCATATTAAGGGCACTTGAATCCACAGAGGTAGATTAATTGTCCTGGGAGAAAGTGCAGAATGAAAGAGAGGGCAATCAACAGAATTCCCAAAACACTGACCCTGCAAAGGTGAACAAAGGCAACAGAATCCACTAGAGAGACTGGATGCAGGGGTATCGGTTGGTTGGCTGTTACAGTAGCCAAGGAAGAGAGTTTGTGGACATATTCAAGAGCAGTGGCAATGGGACTGGAAAGGAAGAAACAGTTCATAGTTAGGTTTGATGGGCCTCACTTGATTAACCAAATAGGGGTAGAAGAGAAAGAGCTGGAGGAATCAAGAAGGAATCTGAGGTTCCTTCTTTGGGCCTCTGGAAAATTTTAACGTCTTTATTTGACTTAGGAAAAATAAGAGGTAGAAAAAATTTTAGATATCTTTGAGTTCGATACACATCATTCCTCTATCCAGGGAGACCATTCCAGCTAACCCCAAATGCTCTTAACCCCTATTCAACAGGCCGAAGTATGTCCAGTCTCCCTAGAAATGCCTCTTTGAAATATTGAAAATCTCAAACTACCAAACTTTTACAAAGGAAATAGGATGTTATTATCTTTCGGTACATATGGGATCAGACTACTCAAGTATTTCCTAAATATCAGCATTGGTTTCCTGCCGTGATTGGGCCTCGCTTCACATGATTCTGACCTAACAGTTGCTGATGAAGAGTAGCTGCCTTCTCTGAGTAGAAATAGCAACAAACAGTAATAATTCAAGTTCTAACACCAGTTTCTAGTCCAGAGACATATTGAACTCTGAGTTATCTAGAGTGAGGACAGTTTCAAATCCCCATTCTTAGTGAAAAGGTGCAAAGCTTATTTGGGGACAGCTAGAATGGGATGAGAGCAGGAAAAGACTGAACCTATTAGAATTTAACAAATAAATAAAACTAAAGAAAGAAGAATTTGGAACTAGCTTATAAAACACCTGTTTCAGTAGTTCTGAGCTTGACTCTCTAAATAGATAAACATACTCTTTTTATTCCTGTTTACATTGCAGAACACCCCCACCCCCTTCTTTTCCATTCTGATAGAAGTATAGACTTAAATACATTACCAAGTAGAATTTTCACAAATTACCAAGTGGATTTTATAACAACTACATTTAAATAATAGCAATTAACTTAAACGCTAAAATGAATACTTATGATTAATACCTCACACATTTAACAAGTCCATCCTGGAAGGCAGTCTCTAGATTAGTGTCTTTCTATTTGTGACAGATACTAACATTGTTCATACGTACATTTTGATGTTTTTATTGAAATGGGAGAGCTCCTGTTGTTGAGTAGGAGACCAATTAAGTAAAATCAACGGGAATAGTTGGGCATGCAAAGGAGATATCAATTTAGTAAAATAAAGCCATTTAAAGAAAGTCACATATATTTATTTACTTGGAGTCTTTCATCAAAGGAATAATTTGTATCTAAAACCCTACAAATTCTCGAAGTTGCCTACCATGGAAGTGGCGGATGATTTTAGAGCAGTTTCTTAAGTTGGGAAGTCTTGCTACTGGAGGAGAGGGAGGAAGACTTTCTTAAATTTCTACTAGGCTTCAAACCTGAACGTCCACTGGCCTGTGCGTTCATTCGTCAGTGTTCATGGGAGATAATACAGTATTGTGGTGTGATGCGAGTGCACTCAGAACTGAGTCTGTGCTCTGCCTCTCCTGTCCCTGTGCCTGAGTCCTAGTCAAAAGTTTCACTGTATTGGACATTGGAATCATGTTTTAAAAGCATCAGTCTGCTATTTATTCATTTCATAGCATTCTTACTAAAAGAGAGGCAGAGTTTGATTCCTGTAATTGTATTGACCATGCAGCAGTGTTCTTTGAACCAATTAGACTTTCTTCTCACTTATGTCTAATAATCAAAACACTTCAGTAAAATGCATAAAACAGAACAAAGTTCTCATTCTTTTGTGTTTAAAAAAAATTAAGACTGTTAACTCTCTTACCTTATGAAGTACTATAACTTTATAGATTTAAGTAAGTAACAAGAAAACTTCTCTTGTGGATTTATGATAACTTGCGCCCCATTAAGAAAAATAAAGATTTCTTATTTCAACCGAAAAAGTTGGGAGGGTGTGTGTGAAAATACTGTACCCTCCTTTCTTCTTTTTACCACATGAAAACCTTTAAGAAGAATGCTATATCTTGTTTTTATCACTCTACTAAACATCTCTCTATATTTTATATAAAAATCTTTTAATACGTGCTGATCCAGGTATCTGT